ATATCTTGCACAACCACGTCGCGGTGTTTATAGTACTGTTCCCGAGATTCCCTTGGCTTTCTCTGCAAAAAAACCTCTTTTTCAAAAAAAAAAAACCCTGAATGGTGCTTGTATTCAAAGGGAGCGAGAATAAAAGGCAAATACTGTTCCTGCCAGTGATGAGATGATCGCGGTAGGAGCACATACAAAAACGAAGCATCATTTTGGAAAATTTATGCTATACCCTGTATTCTTAGGAAACTAGTATGCCAGACCAAAGACAAAACTCACAGTGCGCCAAACAATAGGAAGTTCGCGATCTAAAAATGCACGCAGTCGATTCGTTGAATCGGTGACATTCGCCCTGAACACCGCAGGCGAAAATGCAACCTGCAAATAGTTTCCTGCTAACTCTCAAATGGGAGGGCTAGACAAGACACTCCAAAAAATACTTTCTTAATTGAGAAGAAGAAAACGGAAACTTCCGGCGAATTCTTGGAGATAATAAAAACAAGAACCATAAACACACTCTTTCGCAAGGAAACAACAAGGAAAATTTTTTTTTCTAAAGTGCACAAAATAATCACAGACTTACTCTATTGGCGTTTCGATCAATAGAGCTCCATTCAAGGTTATCCTTGTAGATTAGAGAGCGAAAAACAACATCGCCAACCAAATCAACCCTAGAATCGTATATGTTTTTTTTTAAATAGATACGAAAAAAGTTCGAATATGTAAACAATATACCTCGATGTGGCATCTCTTCTTAGCATTTCGAGCCGACTGATTTCATTTACAAGACGGGAGTTTGCAGCACGAAATTCACTCTTTCGATCTTCTCGATTATCTCTGCTCCTAATAATTTGTGATATGGAGCCATAGAAGGGGATACTTCGGATATTAATGGTTATACTTGTTCATACATTTCAGCTTGAAGCAAGGACAGCCTTCTCTGCAAACGACGGATCCTCAACCGAATACATTCGTGTTCGTCCAGTGGTGGCTGCGATTGACCACGTTCAGCCAGTCGAGCTGCTTCGGCCGCTGCATGCAGTTCGTTGACCGAGACTCTGAATGGATCTGACATAGAGATGGGAAGCTGATGAGTTTAGAAAGATCAAACTTACGCCTCCTTCTCACTCGAACTGGAGTCCAAATTATGGTAGAACGTCTTCGTCGGCTTCATACAAAGCGGGCATTTCTCCGAATACTTGAACCACTGCGATGTACAAGTGAAACAGAATGAGTGAATGCAATTTTCAAGCTCTGTCGGATCGACCCTCCTAAAATAACACTAAGCTTGGAAGAGGCTATGAGTGTAAAAGTCCGTTAAAAATTTTTGTAGCTACAAAACATGTTAACGCAGCCCTATGACTCAAGGTAAAGTGAGAAAAAGCTCAGTCTACCACATGCTTGCTGTCACTATTCGGTTGATTTTGGCAAGTATTCGAATCTAAAGTACATGTAATTCAATCGAGCTTCTTACAGTTCGGCTCATCAACTAGTTTCATTCCTATGCAAAACTAATTGAAAAGGCTCTTTTATTCTTATTTGACTAGAAAACATGTTTCAAGAGCACCTTAAAAGACTCACTGTCCCAAACAGATTGCACAAGTGTCAGAATTTTCCCCAGAAGTTGTTGCGTCAAAGTCATCCTTGGTAAT